ATACAATGGCTTATTCCAGGATGACCATATTACTTGACTTGACTTATAATAACAACTTCTCCTGCTCGTCCATGATAATACAGAAAAGATACACTGCATCAATTAATGTTAACCGATTGGACATGTCTCGGGTTGTCTGAAAGGTGGATAACACTATCCAGCGGATAAATCACTATTTCCAACATCATTCCTTAGAAGGGCAGTAGTATAATAGCATCCAGGAAACAAGCCGAAGAACTTTCAATGCTATTATTTTTAAGTAACAAGGTTTATTTTCACAATATCATAACTATTATTTCAACATTTATTTGCCTAACAGATGGAGTTATGGAGTTCTCCTTTACGAGATTTTCACGATAGGTAAGCTAGGTAGCGGCTTGCACCTTCGTAGTTTGTTTACCGTCCCTTTCCATAACATGCGGCTTCTGCTCAATCAACGGTCACGTGCTTCACTATCGACAGTTATCTTAGCGGCCCTTTCAGGGCACAGGGGCTAACTCCAATGTTTTCAAAATTCATATCTGTGGGTTGTGAGTGGTAGATTTCGATCCATGTTGTTTGTTTGTTTTTTTCCAAAGTTGGTAAGTGGTCGTCGTATTTATGATTTACGGCAGCCAAAAACACTATCGTTAGTTAGGGTTTGAACTTGGCGTGTTGTTGAGAGGCGTGGAAATATACGTAATAAAGGTGGTTACAGTCAATTTAGTGGCGTAGCTCTGTTGGGGTTTTGCACTTGGAAGCTAGAGCGTCCGGGTTCAAACCGGTTCCTTTCTGACCCTAGCTGGAGTTTCTTTACCACAGACCCGAGTTCAACTCTTCGACCAAGTTTGTAAGATGGCTAACTGGTCTGCTTCCTCTCAAATAGCATTCATAATTTTTTTTTTTATATTCTGTTTTCAATATTCGTTTCTAATGTATGTTTCGTTATCCCCGGATGGCCTCTCAAAAAGAGAGGATACTGCATGATTTTTTTAATAGAAACCATTCTACCTAAATTGCTGCAGAAATAGTTACAATTTTTAGATTGTGTTAGTTTTGGAAGGAGTCGTGGTCTTGATGTCTTGTCTATAAAATGGTCTCTTCCAGGTGGCTCACCATATCCACGGATGGATGGCAGAAAAATTGTACGTTGTCTACAGCAAGGACACAGAATGTCGAAGCCAAAACACGTGGATGAAAAATTGTAACCAGCTCTTCTTTTACCTTTTATGTTAACATTATTGTTGAACGTGAAATTAATTGCAGTAGTTGTTCAGCACCACCGCCCCCCGCCTGCTTCTCTCTTTGCCTCTTACCCTTTCCCCTGAAAGAGATGCTAATCCATTTAGGTTTATCCACCCGGCATTTTTTCCCCTTGGTCCAAAATTTCAACAATACAAAGCCTTAAGGGCCGGAGCCAGGGCTTGAACACAGACCACTAATAATCATCATTAGGCCACTACGCCTCCTAACGGATGTAACATCATGACTTCTTAATTTATTCAATTTTAGATATGGAATAATGACGAAATGTTGGCAAGAAAACCCAGATGAAAGACCAACATTTACTGAATTGAGGATTGAACTCAAAGAAATGGAAAACCAACACAAGGTAAGCTCATATGGGATTGATTTTCAATTGTCAAAATTAATTTCAGTTATATTAAAACAGCAATAGGAATGTTCATCAGGAGTTATAGTGGCCAGCCCAGACGGCTGCTCTTTGCGTTTGTGGTTTACAACTCGCTTCAGAAACCAAGTGAAATGATTGATCAGAGCTCATAGTAAGAATCACGGATAATTTTTGTGGTTAGATCCGCCACTGGAGTATACTAAAATCCAACGGGGATGCGAAGCAATTTCGGGTAAAAACTACAAAATTACCCAAAAGTACCTCTGACTGAAATTGGATTATATTATACATGATCCAAATAAGAAACAATTACTGCCCGACACGTTTGTTGTTATTGGCTAGAGCTTAGCAAATGAGAAAGAATCAGATACTTATCCACCATACACGTAACTAAGGTGTCGTAAGGTAACACGGACGGGCAAACGTATCAAATGACAGATGACTCTTGTCATATTTTCTTCTCCCCAGAGGTTGATCAACATGGAAATGTATGACGAGCAGTTGCACGCAAACGTTGAAGATTTGGTCATGTGGGAGAACTGAGGCTCCTTTTCATACAACAATGTAAAAGACAGTACTGGCGGACTGTACAGACATTGTAACAGTTACTCCCATCACTCATCAGAATTAGTGTTGTGATGATACATTTTGGCTTTGGAATTTAGATTTTTAGAAGATATGCATTTAGTTTGAAACCGTTTTTTGACACTTACCCAAAATTTCCTCAGTGGAAAAAAATGAGCTTGGTTGGAATTATTTCACTGAGCTCGCGAAAATTAAAAGATTTGTTTGGTCTTGACATTGATACACGAAAAAGAATCCGGCACTTTGTCAAAACTTCTCCAGGCGATAGGCTGGTGTTGAAGAACTGTTTGCTCTAGTTAATAAGATTCTTACTCAACTATTTAAAAATTGTTCCGATGTGAATGAACTCCGGAGGAAGTGAGTGAAATCACGCCTATAGCATTTTTTTTTCAAACTTTTATTCAGTAAAACATGTACTGATTATGCAACGCTGTGGTGTACCATGGAACATCCCACGAGTCAATTTCTCTGTTTAAACACAAACCTTTAGGCAAGTGTGCATACCAAGAAAATACAAGTTACAAGGGGAATATTCCACAGTATCCCACGAGAAGGTATTGCATAACTACTAGATACCATGCCATAGAAAGTACAGCGACCAACACAGTGCAGCGCGCAATGGGAAGGTCGAGTGTAATATCGTTGAGTATTCAACAGCTTTCCTGTTTTCCGGTGATTGGCTATACTTCCTATGGCACGGTATAAAGGATATTTATTTACCAAATAAATGGTTTTATGCTCCTTATTAAATTACCTAGTTATTATTAGTAATAAATCTGTCCCGGCTTTGGTCAGGTGATCGCAGTTCGACACCTAACAGAAAACCGCCTTTTAACCTCGTGCAGAACAGGTTTTTGTCCTCTTTTGACCGGAACGCAACGAGTGAGAGTTGGACATGCCTTGTAAAAATAATGGGGCATAAATCATAAATATAAAAACAGTTGTGTACTAGATCTTTTGCTGTATTTTAGCAGAGTAGAGTAAATATACTCAACATTTAGAATAGCTGTTAATGTAAACAAAAAGCCTCATTGTTGTGTTTTTTTGAAGTTTTTCCTCGAGTCAATTTTTACGCTAATTAAAATTTGTGGTTCACAGTCCGTCCTAAACGCGTTCTCTGTTTTAAGTTTTATTTTCAGTCCCTAGTTTTGAGGTAAATTTCGATTATTGCATAAGGACAACTTACCTACCGGAGAGTGAGAACATATTCCTGAAACCCATAACTCTCTGGGTTATTGTCTGACTCTTCCCCAGTCGTCTTCATATAGCACACGGCAGCGGGCGAGGTAGAGGAGCAGGGGATGATGGAACGGGAGAAGGGGAGAAGACGACTGGGAAATCCTGTTTTCAAAATGGTGGACCGATTAATGGCGGAATATAGTGAGATTTCAAACTTGGAAAACAGGCCGTTTCATTGGACTTCATTGGGCGTTTCATAAGCTACTCTGAAATCCGAGGGTAAATAAAGTGATATATGTATGTGTGTATGTATGTATGGGCATATTTAGTTAAGAAATTACCTTGGCCTCATGTTCATTGTACAGCTCAGCTTGGTTGAACATTTTTTGAGGAAACAGGGCTTGTGCCATCATTTTGTGGACGATAACGTGGAGGACCTGCTGATCAATAATCGAGACCTCGAAATATTAGAAAGTATTAGATGGAAAATGCTCCCTTACAAAGCCGTTTGAACCATCAAGTCATATGCTGGGTTGGAAAGTAAATAATGTACTAAGGAATTATTTTTCTGCGCTAAATTATCCGCAAAACTGTCAACGATAACATTTTCTTCTGCGAGGCCAACCAAATGACGCAAACCGAGCAGATGTGTGAATATTTTAGATGGTAAAATGATATAAAATCACTGTGCGGGAGACCTAGATGAAACGGATGATATTCAGAATAACATGGACAAGACCTCTTGGCAGAAAGGTGTTTTATTTCATGTCAAAGTGTTCGTCAAATATGACGTCGGAGCAGGATCTGTTTCCTCGGGCGTCCGCATGCAGTGCAAAGCTATCTTTTGTCTCGCACCTCTGACAAAAAAGGTATCCTAAACTGGTGCTTTGGGTTCTATTTTTTATATATATATACATCTCAGCGAGTATAGACTGTCAAAGAAAACTGTGCAGGATGTTATGTGGAAAGAACTGAAAAATTCAGAATCTGGTTCCAAGCAGCAAGTGAATTAAAGAGGAAAGAAAATATGGACAAGGACACTTTCTATGCTAAGCCATTGGCAGTAAGAGTTAACTTATCCAGGAGAAACTGGTTAAGCCAAAATGACTTATTGCCAAAACAAAGAGTTCAGTAATGAAGGTTATGAAAAAGCTGAAAAGATCAATATCAGGTGATTTCTTATTATAACCGAACCCCTTGTTTTCTAACAGTATCTGTCTTGAGAAGTGTAATAGCTTTTACTGCCTCTAAGTTTGAAATGATAATCAGTTATTTTCTTTATACTTTATGCTTTTAATTTTCATCACAAATCTTATGTAAATAAAGATAGCTTCAACAATTATTTTACATTAAGTTTAAACTGACCTACAAAGAAATATTCTAGGGAAGAGTGTCACAGAGGCTGTACTTGTAAACATGAACCCCAAGCCTGATTTCTCCCCAGCTCCATCCATCCCAGGTTCCCTGTTGCTCTTTGCATTGATAAGTTTATTACTGGCTTCTAGAGAATGATGAACATACATTTTCAGTAAA